CATGGAACTCTTAAATTTTGCTAAGTTGTTCCTTCCTTATTCTGCTCCGCATTCAAGTATAACTATTACAGGATTATAGATTAATATATAGAACTACTTGTGCCACAGTGAACAAAACCTGATATCAGAAATAACATCACAATCACTTGTATGTGAAAATCGGGAATCATTTAACAAATATATTTATATGATATCAATGCCGAATCATATTCAGACTTTGCCTAATGTAAGTCTTAACATGTATTTCTATGCAGGAGTAACTGAACCTGTAGTTTCCCCAAGGAAGAATCGTTAACCAATCCAGATAGTTACGAGTTACATTAAATTCACTAGAACTGGCCTCTAACAGCTGTAGTTTTGTTAGCTCCTCTTCTATAACTTGCAAGACATGAGGTGGGCATCTCTCCCTATTTGGTTCAAGTCTTTCCCTAAACTTTGCTGCAATAAAGGAACAGAGAAGTATAGCAAAGGTCACATAGATGATTAAAATAAACTAAAAATAACAATTCGACTAGCTATTTCATCCATCTCAAAACTGATGTGGTTACCCGTTTAGACCTTGTAGGGGACCCATGGATACATCAATTCAGTAAAAGCAAGCACCCAGCAAGGTAAAAATTAACCATACAGGGAATAACCATGAGATTAATAGCAAGCAAAATTGCATCAACCAGAGTCTATAGTTTCAGAAGTATTGGACTTTTAGACTTCCAAATTACCCCTAATGACACAAACGGGTTTCAACAAGCAAGTCAAAAACAGATTTATTGACATTATTTTTTACAAGAGCTTGCTTGCAAATTCACTAATGTGTCTTCAACAACAAATTAGGTTGAAGAGGAACATCCATGCATGCAAATCACCATTTTGTAAAAGAAAGAGAGGAGAAGAGGAAAGGAAAAACTGGTTGGTAAGTACTATCTTCTGATTCTGCCAAAATAACATGAAACAGAACTAACCTGAAAGTGCAGTTTTGTCATCTGTTTCCAACCCAAGTTCCTGCACCAGAACAAATGAAATTCACTCTAATTTCTACAGAGGAGAAAGGTCCAAATAAAAAATAGAGAATTCAATGCACAGAAAAAAAAAAGATTATATGGGGTCACATTTGACCATACTTTATAAAGATAAATTGATAAAAGCATTACCACCTAAGAAATACGTAATTAATAATAGAGTGGAATCAAATACCTTCTTTATTGCCTTAAGCTGCTCATTCAACAAGTATCGGCGTTGTTCACCACTTAGCTTTTCCTCAATTGCTTTCGCAATTGATTCCTAAAAATAACCACCAAATGATTTAGACCTACTCCAAATCAGATGACAATGAAAAAGGTTTAAGTAATGTAGAGGTGCAATGAAATTTAATGGCATCAAGTACCTGAATCTTGCTGATTTCCATTTCTTTTTTTACTAATTCCAGTGTATGTTGTAAACGCTTATGCACCTAATGAGACAGTATAGCACAGTTTTAAGAGAGGAAGAACATGACTAGTACAGTCTCCAAATGTATAAAAACAAACAAATAGGTGCCAATGCCACCATTAGGTGTAGATAGCAGCATCACATAATTCACACAAAGAAGTGTGAGATTTGTGATATCCTCAAATGCAAAACAAACTAAACCAGAACTGGCTCTCAAAAATTAGCAATCAACAGTAAAATATATCCTAGCCACTCACATCCAACTCTTCAAGAACTTTCTGGCATTGCAATTTGTTTGCACCAGATATTGCAGCTCCAAAATCTGCTAACCTTGGAAAATTGAAATCACCTATATGCTGCACATATTGAGAAAGAAGGCAAAAAATGAAAAGATATCATAATTAATTCATGGAAGCTAATTGATCAAAACAACTAGTACATTCTGATAGAAATATGATGTACATATAACAATTTCTATCGCAAGCAATTGCCATGAAATTATGCTAACTCATTGCAATATTTAATACGATCATAGAATATTTGCTGAAGTATCTTGACAAATATATGATGAACATGTAATGTTAAACTAAATGGCGGCTCCACCTACTCTGAGGGAATATTGTGGGCAAAGTACAAATACGAGAAGAAGTTAGAAGCTCTAGAAAACATAAAGAGAAGATATAGAGCAACATAAAGAAAAACAAATCAAAATTTTGGAAGAAAGAATACACCTGACTATACGCTTGAACATGATCCCTCCAAAGAGAATTAATTTTCAAAACATCTCTTAGGGTTGATATAACCTCAAATGATGTTGCCTTTATGACATCATCATCCTTGTCATAAGGTTTTTCCTGCATGATTAAGACAACTTGGTGAATCAATAGATTAATAAACTATTGAATGCATACTTGAGATGAAAACAATAACATATAGTGATACAGACAACATACCTTGAGATGATCAACTTTGACTGTAAGGGGATCTTCACTGACCTGTACAGAAACCATCTTGTTTAAGTTCAGAAGGTTTTGCACTTAAAAAAGATTCCAAGTATGTGGGACAGAGATAATTTTCACACAAACACCAAATTGTCAAAGATTAAAATGATATATTTCACCATCTCTGTTATTCGAAGCCGCCTGTGACCAATAAGGATAACCTGGTCTCCTTGGATACTTGAGATCTGAAAACATTACATTATAGATACATATATCAGAGGACATGTTATATTGTTGCATATGTCTCTAACTGCCATTAAAAGTATTGCATTTAACACTAATCAAGATACAAAAAGATCTTATTTTACTATAAGAAAATTAAAAAAAGAAAAAAAATTGATACCTGGGCAAGGGTGCCAACTTCATGAAGACGATTAAACAACTCCTTCCCTTTAATATCATATACACTTTTCTCTGTTTCAGAACTAGGACTGGACTCAGTCCCCAGTTCATCTTTGAGAAGGAAAGCACCAGCATATGGAGCTTGCCTTTTTTGGCTTTCTTGTAAAGCTGCTAACAACTTAGCATCCTGCACAAGAAAGCATATTGGTAAGAGATCCATTTACCTCAAGTAGTGCTAGCTACAAACTCAACAGGATATTATCACCAAAGTTAAGTAGTAGAATACAAAGCACAGTGTAGACATTTTTCTTGAGTTATAAAACCACGGTTTTTGCTCTAAAAAAGATCTAATCTATGAAATGGTTCCACCTCAAAGTTCAAGTCATATTAACTCGGTAATGCCACGGATAAATGTTGTCAAGACAAGATCTACAATCAAAATGATAAAAATTGCTCCAACAAGAGTTTAACTTTACATTTCATTAATATCATTAAACAATTAATGGGTGCATATAAACAACTTAAGTTGTATCATGCCAAGCTATGAACTGTAAGTCTGTAAGACACCTTAGAGTTCAACAATGTAGTTCATACTTTACAAACTATCACCCTAAGAAAAGAAACATGGGGAGAATTTCATATTCCATATAATTGGACATCATGCCATACCTTGACATAAATTGGCATGTAGAATCCTGGGAAAAGAGGTTTATGCGGCAAAGGTAATGCCAAAACCTGCAAACAGAAAAGATAAAGAATTCGTTAAACAAATGTGGAAGAGAACTAATACAGAGCTTTATATGAAAGCACGGTCCATAATTTCGACAGAGCCACCACATTATACATGTTTTATTTATGTACAGTAAAAGAGTTTCACCAGAAATGTTATGAAAAGAACCAACTTTTACATAGTCAGTACCATGAAAACCCAATAAACATTGAGCAAATTTAACAGTTTCAAATAGCAACAAATATAAAAAAACCAGATTTTTCTTTAAAAGCTTTTTTTTGTCCTCTCTTCTCCTTCATTTTCTCAGCAACTAAACAAACTCCCACCGCAAAAAGATTCATAATCTCTGAAACTAACTGTCGAATAATCCTCTGGCCTGGGGTAAGTCGGCACGATCGCCGACGATACTTTCGAGTCAGACCCATTGGACTCGGACTCGGACTCGGCTCCCTTCACCTCAACCTCAACCACTGGAAGGGACCCGGAACCCGACCCGGACCCATTGCTGGAATCAGAACAGAAGAAAGCCCTGAAGAGCAAGTTCGTAGAGCTCCTCCGAGTCAAGCCGGTAAGTCGACCCAATGCATGGAAGGCCGAATCGAAGTCGGGCTTCACTCGGAGGCTTGGAGTTGCTGTAGTGAGGCACTGGATACGAGAAGAGGAGGAGGAGGATACGAGTTTCAGCATTGGAGGGGATTTAAAGGGATAGAAAAGGAACCCTATGTGACGGCGGTTGGTTAAAACGGCCGCCGGAGATGCTTCATTGGAGGAGAGGCTTGAAGGCAAAAGAAGGGCCTGGGGGAGGTTGCAGGTGGAGCCACTAAAGCCCTTCATAAGCCCTTGTATTTTGGGGTGAGTTAACCGCTTTGCACTTTTCTTGGGACATGATGTCCTAACTCCTATGAAAGTTTAGTACAACGTTCCACCGTTTTCTTGTTGCAGAAGACAAAAAGAACTTGTTGATGTTTCATTTACGTTGTTTCAAATTCAACTTTTGCAATTAGTGCTATTAAGACAGACAAATTTACTAACTGCCAACTTGGTTCGGTTTGGTTTGTTGTTAAGGCAGACAAATTTGACTACTAAAAGCCTCAATAAAACCTGTTCTAGATGCCGTTTTTTAACATTCCCTTGGACAAAATAAAAAAATGAGGATGCTGTTCTTGATCAGCAAGAAAGTTGCATCTTTTACAATTTTCATGAAAAACTCGTAAACATATTGATGAATTTGAGTATAAATCTATAGTTTTCTGACATAATCTTAGAAAAGTTTTTTAAATGATAATATAGTATCAGTATTTGATAAAGAAAACAAAGTTTGTCTTTGGGGGTGAGATTAACAAAGTTTCTCTATGGGCTTCACGGTGGCAACAATTCACAGTAACCTAAGAAAAATCTTTTAGCTTTGGACATGGTTTTGGTCCGATCTATATAGGTATATAAACCATTATCTTTTTTTTTTTTTTTTTGGTTCAAAAGAAGATAAATGTCTGTATAAAGAAGAAGGGAGATGATGAAATTAAAACTTAACGTCTACATATCTTTTTTAGAGCCTCTTAACCACTAAACCAATAGATAAAAGACATATAATAAACCATTATCCGATTCAAATAAATCAAACACAAAACTATATTTTGGTTCGAAATTTCATTTCCCAGATTAATACTAACACGCTTTTATATCTTGAATGGAAAAAGGCAAAGCAAACAAAAGTTCACCAGAAAAGTGTACCACAAAGAGATGCTTTTAGTTAAAAGCACATGACTTCACAGAATCTAAGAGTGCCTTACATTTTATGCTACTCACAGTTACTTGCAAGACTACACACAACATTAAAGAAAATGCTAGTCCTTATGTTTAGAGACACTCATTGCTAACTCTCAAAAAGAGTCCTTGAATGAAACTTTGAAGAAAAGTAACATGAAAACCAGTAGTCTGGAAAGTCATTAGGACCAAAACCAAATTCATCAAACAAGCTAGGGAACACCAGAAACTGGTGCTTTTTCCAATCTCATGTTTGACTCCTCACTGAGCTATCAAGTACACTGCAGGGTTTCAGTTTGCCACTCCCAGACCAGTGAAGTTTCATTTTCAGTGGCACCAATGGGCTAAAGGGGACGCCATGTTGCATCTTTTTGTGTTTCTTTTGTCTTTTTTTGCAACATTTTCAGGAGCTCCTTGCATGTACCACAGCAAATTATAAATTTAGGGCATATAATGAATTACTATTATTGAAATATCAACATTATGATTTAATAATTTCAAAATATTAGGTAAAAGATTAAAAATAACAACATTTACATACGTGTGTTGCTTGCAGACAAATATATTGTAAAACTAAATAATATTAAAGCGTGTCTTAAAAATCCAGTTGTTTGATCAAATATCATCACTTCCAGTTCCAACTCCAGTATCTAAATACATAGGTCCTCCGATATTTCCAGCAAAGCCCTCAATAAGAGCAGATTTCATATCCTCCGATGGTTTCCAGTGCCGCTTCCTCTGGTTGATGAACCAATTGTTGATTTGCTTCTGGTCTAGTCCTGTTATCTCTGATAATTTCAACTTCTCCTCCTCCTGCAACACCGCACACACTCTGTTTAAACATTCTAGCGCAAGTTTCCAGCCAGAAAAATATGTATGAGAGAAAAAGAATAATGCAGCTTTTTCACCCCTATAGTAGGGCTGTTCCGTTAGTAGTAACCAAACGGTGACTGAAAATATCTCCCAATTACAAAAAATAAATAAATAAATAAATAAAGAAAAGAACACTCTTCCTCACACATAATTTAAAAAACAAAAAAGATTTAAAATGAGTTCCAACACTCCTTCCATTGCTCTTACCTCATTTTTTCTTTGTAACATATAAGTTGAAAACAAATCTTCAGAACCTTCTTGTTTTAGGACTTAGTTGAGGGGGAATACAATACAATAATATACTTATTGGTGGTCATGGTTTCAATGCATAACTGAATTAGGGTTCAAGGACAATCCACTCGTTCACAGAAGGGTGTGACGCTGAACAACACTATTTTCAATGAACACCCTAATGAGAGCAAACAAGCAATTACAAATGAAATGTTTTAAGTCCTTGTAATTGAATTAGAATACTGTTTCTCTCACTCCCCTTTCACAAAACACCATTGAAATTCATCTCATATGGCATTGGCATACATGATAAGGGAGATTTGCCAGCAAAAAGAGGAACAAAACAAAAGGTGCTAAAGTAATTAACTTGTACTGCAATTACCGTAGGATATGGCCATCTATAATGATTGTTCCACCAATCTACCAGTGTCATCCTTGCATCTTTTGGTAGCTTTCCCTTCTTTCTTTTCTTCAAGAATTCTTTTCTCAAACTGCTCAAATAGCCACTGTACTTGCTCATGAGCATTACTTTGATGTCCTGGCTTGGACGGCCACCCGTCGATTCTTTACTAGCAGAAACTTCCACCTCCCCACCACTTAACTCTTCCTCTGAAGTCCCAGCAGCTTCATCTGAAAAGAAAAGCATATAACATGTAAATTGTCATGTAAACATTCAGCTATTAAGGACATCTACCAGGACACAAGTCAGTCCACAAAGTATCTATAAAAGTTCAAAAACCTGGATAAATTTTAATCATATAAGTGACCCCAATGGGAGCTTATACCAAACAAATTAATAGGTTACAAATTTATTTTCTCAAAATAATAGCTGCATGGTCCTACATGATGGAGTCCTACTGCAAAAATAAGATTAGATTAGATATTTCCTTCTTTAACAGTCAATGTATTATCCAAAGCGTTTTATAGTTGAGCAAAATTCACCTTGAACAAGCCATCAAAATTAATTATCATTGAAACCCGCATTTCTTAAATTAGATTTGGAAAAAACCTCTCTGATCGAGTTTTAAATCCTATCATTCATTGATTAATTAAGTGGCCAAATAAACTGTTAGCCAAAGAAAAGGTGGATAAAGGTGGAGCATCATTAAGAAACATTTTCAAGTAATAATGTTATTATCCATAATTTAACAAACTGACAAGTTTAAGTGATGATGGACCACGGCTTCCATCTATCTTGTAAAATGCTGAATTGAATGTTGCTTTTGTTCGGAAGAAACTAAGTCTCAAATTATTATTTTTAGAGCAATGCATACCTGTTATTGTCTCAAATGTACCAAGAGACAACATTGCTGAACAAGACACAGTGGGTGATGTACGGCCAGTAACACATATTAAAAATAATGAATGCACTCATTTATATTTTAAAGAAGGCAATTTTTGGTGCTTTACCTAGCTAGAATCATTGCAGAAAAAAATGAGGGAAAATCTAAGTATGAGGAGAACTAGTGATGCACTAATTTCTGTAAAACATCAACATGGCAGTGTAGGGAAGAGAAATAAAGGCCCAATATATTATTATCTTCACAAAGAATTTCAAGCTATCTAAAGTTCATTATTGCCCAGGGTGGAGTAACCAGGTCCTGGAAATTAGAGATCCACCATGCAACTGTTATTACTGCTTAAAGTGTAAACAAATAATTCATGAAACACAAGAAAACTCAAGCATGATAGGAAAATAGGTAAGAGGACAAAAGGGAACAGCAGAAAAAAAAAATATTATAGATGGTACAGTCCATAGAACTTACTTTAAGGGTTTTCAACATTTCAACTCACTCAGAGAGAAGGGAAAAAAAACTATTTTTTACATGCACAGTAGCAGGAGATTGAACTCATTAGAGACTACACATTCATTGAATTTTTATTAATGCAAAAAACAATATTACCCCTTTACCAATTATAGTTCTATTATAAGGGCAAATATATCATTTTGAGACGAGAAAATGCACGGTTAAAAACTTTACCAGAGCGATAATCCAAGGTTTTTGTCAGGGCTCCTTTACAGAGATTACTTAGCTGTGATTCGATGTTGCTTAAAAACGTTGTCGCTTCATCGAACGGCTTTGATAGCTCCTCTTTGTATGTATGAAGAACCTCACAATATGATTCCTTCAAACAAACCAACAGATACCAACAAGACAAGGGAAGGTTATCCAATGATTTAGAATATTGAGATTCATGCAACAAATGTTCTTCCCTTTTCCTTACATTTTCTTGAGAACCAAACAAAACATTTAGAGATAAAAAGGACTTGTTTTTCAAAGACAAAAGGATCTTTGAAGTACCATGAACTCGTCAAGTTCTGGATCAGCTCCTATCTCACTGCAAGAGCTTATAGGGTGGTTCTGTTGGCCAATTTCTTCAAGAAGAGAGGCCAGCTCAGGCGGTGCTCCAACCTATATATATATATATATAAAAAAATTACTCAAAGATCACGCCCCACCATAGTTTCTCTAGCATTGGAGATTAAACAAGATGGATTTTTTTGTTGTTCTTTTTTGACAACCAGTCAAGCTTGTAGCAGACTATTACTAAAGTATATATAAAAAGAAGCAAAAATTATTATGATAATTAATTATAAAAATAACCAAAAAAAGTTGAAAACAAGTAACCACCTTTTGGCATTCTATGTAAGCAGATACTAGGTTTGGATAACGTGGGTGACTGGCGATCTGGGTCTTGATCAGATCAGACATATCTGATCCAGTGGCATCTGTATCAGCTGTTTGATGATCAAATTGAAGCAAATGATCGACTGGACTGGGAAAATCAGCGGTAGCAGCCGCATTAAAGTTTGTTACAGCAAAGTTATTAACCTTTACAACATCATTTGAACACGAGATTATAGGATCATCAAGCCTGTACAAGTCCTCCATGGTCTTTTCACACGAAAGGATAGGTTGTAAAGTAATCAATTAAGCTCATTCCCTGAAAGATCTAGGCAACTTTGGTTTTAAGTACAAATCTCTAAGTTGCCCTAGAATATCTAATAAAGATCTTAGACTAACACTAGACATGCAAGCTTTTTAATACTCGAAAACCAATAACTTATTGTCAAGAAACTAGTAGTTGAAGAATCCAAGACAAAGATAGATAACATATAGCAGTAAAGAACTAATTATGTTGGGAGCTTAATTAGCTGAAGAATCTATAGCCGCCATTGGAGAAACCAAAGCAGGTGAGTTTTGAAAGAGTAGCAGAAGGGCAAAGATAGGAAGCAAAAACATCTAAGCTTCGGAAAAGTGGTTTTATCAGACATCTTAGTTGAAGTTCAACTAATGAAAAAGACCAGACCTTGCTTTCTTTTCCAGGATGACCTGAGAGAAAGAATGTTGGGTGTTGATTGCTTTTTTACACTGTGAAGAGAGGGGTAATCTGGATACAGCAAAAAAGAAGGGGGTGGTCTCACCACACGTGTTAACACGCTCTGCAACAGTGTAGAATTAATTTTCAGTGATTTATTTATTGAAGCATTTGATTTTGATTTGATAAAAGCATTTCCTTCCTTCTTTTTTTTTTTTGGCTCTAGGGAGTGAGTTATGGTCTCAACTTTTTGCCCGTATTTATATATTTCTCTGTGCAAAGAGACGAGATTTTAACTGTGACATGACATTCTGCCAGGTTTCATCTCATTGGTTGTCTTACTGAGGATTGTGGGTCCCCAGAAATAAGTGTAATGGACGATGCTGTTCACGTACTGTGCAGTTACACTACCCTTCTTTTCTTTGCTTTTCTTTTCAATCGTCCTTCCCATGCTATGCTAGACAAAAATCAATATCAAAATTCTACCACTAGTCATTTTCTTATATATATATATAAAATATATATGCTGAATGCTGATGGGTTTTCACATGGCAAAAATAGAACAACGAAGAAAGAGAAGGATGATAACATGGTAATGGAGGAAGGTTAGATATAATAAAGAAAAAATAGAGGAAGTGAAAATTAAAAAAAGAATATCTATATATATATATTAATAAAATAATGCAAGCTTCTTGGGTGAGGAGTTCGGCAGAGACCAACTTGTTTAAGTTTGCAGCCTGACCTACAGAGACTACCATGCATCCCTAGTCCTCTCAGAAAGCACTCAGACATACTCGAGCTTCTTTTGCAGAAAGCAGTACTGCCCATCCTCATAACATGACAAAACAAACTCCAACTTCGATTAAATCACTTATTTTTCAACATTAAACATTGCCTGCATGAACTAATTAAAATTATTAATGGAATCAATTTAATTGGTAGCACAAAAATGATCTAATTATGAAATTAGTTTTTTGTATTCGGATGAGATTTAACACGGTCCAGGTTTAATCAAATGAAAGAGAAATTTGATTTGAGTATATATTTAGTATTTCATTTTTTTTCTTTTAGAAGAAATTTTTAATTTTTAAATAAACAATATGCACATTTATTATTGAATTAAATAGTGTCTTTAGTTGAAAGTTTTGTAGATGTTTCTGAATTATTGGTGATATGATATTAACAGTTGTATAGTGGTGAAATTGTTTTTGTTTGGTCCAACTTTAGGGATGCATTATCATTTATCAAATAGTTCATCTTTGTAAAACCTAAATTAATGGAGGAAAGAGACTTTGAAAAGAAAGTTCTGATTTTACCCTCTCCCTGGGACACAATGTATGACATTAACTCCATCTCTTTGGGTGATTGCTTCCTTTTTCTTTTTTTTTTTCTCCTTTGATGCCTCCTTTTTCTTTTTTTTTTTTTCCTGGTTAAAGTGATTGCTCCTTTAATCATTAGTTTTGTCTCCAAATGACAATTTATTATTGGGGTTTGCTTGTAATAAAAGAAAATTAAAGCATCAGTAGTAAAAATTAGTCAAAAGGAGCAAAATAATACTAAAATAAATAAGATATTCAACCAAGAAATGATTTTTTGGACGACAAAATGCAGTAATAAAAATATTTAAGACATCAGGAAAGTGCAAAGGAAGGCCAAGGCAAATCTTTGACTTGATATGCCATTCTTTACACAAACAAAGCAATAATAATTTGATTTGATTATTGTTTTAATGGATTTAGATGCTAAATAAATGTGTTATAATCCAAAGAACATTAGTAAAGTATTTGGGTGGCTGCACATTTATCATGACTATTAGTTTCAAAATTATTTACAAAGGTGTATAAATGATTCTTGGGCAGGTGCGAAACAGTAACAATCACGAAATGAAAATGATAAGACATCCCCACCTTTTGGGATATAATTATTTGACCCTTTTCACCAAAGCATGATAATGTTTTCATGATCATGTCTCAAATATATTTGTGCTCTTCCTCTGTTTCTTTTCTAACCTAACTTGGTTGAAATAGATTTAAGTTGCAAAAAAATGGGCTGTGTTCGATTTGATTCCTGAGCACTTATATTATTACACACGTAAACAGCACAAATGCTTCACAATGTCAAATGAAGAGAAGGGTAGGGTAGTTATATATAAGTTTAACCAAATTAAAATATATATATATAATGATATAAATAAAATAGAAAGATATAAAAATGACACATTTAAAATTTTTAAACACTTTTAAACAATCTGCTCTCATGAACTGGTGGTGAAATGTCTCCTGTTAGTTTTGGATCCTTTTTCTCTCTCTGGGCAGTAAATTTTCATGAGGATAACTTTGATAATATGGTCCACTGTTACTCACGACTATAATGGTCCATCCAAACAACCCAACTTACCATGGACCATCCACGAAAAAAAAGGTCTTGGACTTGGACCCGAGAGAGATTGAGATTTTGTATTTGGGTTCGAGAACGTTTAATTTGGAACGATTGATCAAAGAAAATGAGAATAAATTTGATCTTATATGCCCATGTCTAAAACTAGCTCTTTGAAGAGCAAGGTGAAGCCCCCAAGCCTCATATTGTCAGTTAATTTCAAACCTAAGGGGTACAACTTACAACACAACATTCCAGTCACTTCCTACAACTTTACAACATAACAACTACGAACGATATCATGAGCCTTCTTTAACACCCTGCTGCTTTAAGGAAGTTATCAAAAGGGCTAGCAGGAGGTAACCTCATTGCCAAACATGGGTCTAGTCTCGAGACAGCTCCATTAGAAGCAGCATCGTCGCTTGTTATCTGTATAAAGACCAGCAAACAAGTCAAGAAAGAAAGCAGATCATGATTGAGACATAGCAATGTTAGTTGTCATTAGGTTTGCTTTGAACCATAAACATTTTGTGTAACTAATGAGTCATGAGAAGTGACTGATGTTTCTGTTCTTTCAATACATATAGTAGTCAGTCTTTGCAGCTTCATTAGAAATAAAGAATGTTGTCACCGTAATTTCAACGAATTCCATATTTACCTTCCTAAGCATCATGTGTCTATCAGCAGGAGCAGTTGGTAAAAACTTATCAGTAGCTCCATGTTGATGCTTTTCATTGGTCAACCAATTCGATAGCTTCTTCCTTGTACCTGTGCCAAATGCTTCACATTGGCTAGCCATGGTATCATATGGAAGGGGTGACGTAGAGACAGATGTTGCTGCAACTTGACCAGCTACCTCAAGTGCCTAAAAACAATCAGTGTGAAAAATTATGCTTACACATAAATCTATGGCATGAAAATGCAGAGAAATGGGGATTGTTGGAGGTTACTAGAAAAGGTTTATAAGAGATTACCGATTCCAGGAGCTGTCCGATGCTAATAACGTGAGAGACAATAGGGGATGCTGGCACTTTGGGAATGAAGCGGGAAAGGTCAAGAACAGATGCTTCACTTCGTGCATCATCCTCAAGCAATGAGCTTGTTTGGACATCCTGCCGCATAACCAGTTACCATTAAAGGTTGATTTGGAAAACTAATTACTACTTAGTACTACAAAAGAAACATTAGCTGGGGAAAAATGTGGCTGATTGCACAGGAGCATGCCAAATACTGTTCACTGTTTCACAAGTCTAAGTTAATTCTTGAGTGCTTCAACATTCAAAACTTTTAACTTTCTCAGAGAAATGTAAAAATGTACAAGCAACAAGCTTCTCTCAGGTTATAAGTTGATTCATAAGGACAAATGCTAATCCTATGGGCATACCTCATCAAAGGAAAGTGATTCTTTGGAATGGGAAATCATTTGATTGTGGTCCAAGTCAAGTATAGATTGTGGGCCAAACATGAATGCATCATCAGGTGTGAATGGTTCCAGCAGCTGCTTTGTAAGATCATCTATCTCCAGCTTAACAAGCTCAAAAAATTAGAGTTAGAAAGTTTTATAGAGAGAGGGGGCACTTGTTAATAGCATGTCCTACCTCAGTAATCGTAGATAAATTCTGAACCAAGATATCTATCATGACATTGTTGGATTCATATATTTTATCCCGCAACTCCAATAGCAAAGAAGAGGCCAGTTGGTTATCAGTAACAGATCCATAACCTCTGACATCTGCCAAAGGCCTTACAAACACTTGAAGGTCTTCACTGATGCCCAGATGAGGATCAGCCTGAAAATAGATAAGAATGACTGTAAATAAGTGTGATTGTAATGTACTGACATAATAAGGAGTTCTATACCACAAAAACTGCCAACTGTATCCTATTTCATAATGGCAAACAGTTCTTAAGATAAGGCAATTTAAGGACAAAGCAACTTACGTCAAAGGGAACTATGGACTTAATAAGATCATTTAGATCAGGAATTTGATACATCTTAGCTGCAAACATCAGCATGCCCATTGACAGGACAAGAATTGATCTCTGTAATGCTGGAGTTACCATCCCTGACACCACAGCCACATAAACAATAAAAGAAAAAAAGTAAACAAATTAAACATCCTATCTGAACAGTGAAAGCCTGTCTATTAATAGCCCATACCATAGCTAGGGTCCAAGGAGATATTCTTTAGAGACAAGGGAAGCTGGAAGAAGCGGACCACAAGGTTGTCATTAATGTTCTGTGACATCACAATTTAAGAGACTGTTAGATGTCAGATGAAGAAAAAAACAATCCATGCAGATTAGTTTAGTTAGCGGTCTTTCATCATATGAATTTTCCTTGATAAAAATTTGTCGTCGTGAAGACCATCTCATGATTGTGTAGGCAGCTCTCAGCTGCCCTAATATGTTTTAATTAAGAGAAACCATCATTGTCATTAAGCAGGTTACAAATAGGCAAACTGATGAAATGGGTAGCAGGTGCAGGATTTGGATTAACCCTTTACTATCAATTGTTAAAAATGGTTTAAAACCAACCTTCTGTTGACCAATTAATTGACTCCTCACTCAACTCAACCTACCATGGTCACTCTGGAGACGGCCAAAAAATAAATTCAGAAAAAAAAGGTTCAGATTTCTATAAGGCTAACACCATGTAGCATTTCAATATACCTTCAAGCGTAAAGAAATTATTGTCAATGCAAAAGAGTGAGCTATTGCTTCTATGTTTGAAGGCAAATTATCAGGAAGAGTAGCCTGAATCCAGAAGGCCGACAATAATTGCATTGTCTGATCCTCTGTTAGCTTCATGATATATGGTTCCTGTGAAAAAATTATTAGACCATATTGATTCTATCAAAGACCAAGGCTTAAACTAGATAATCACATATAACCTAATCAACAAAAGAAGAATCTGCTTACTGCCTCAACCATGTTTGATGCAGCTGTTCTGTCAATAATAGAGGTTATATTGTAGATGTTAGGGGAACTTTTGAGGATATGCCCCTGCTTCCGGTCCTCTTCCACATTGTCCTTCCCTTTTAAATCATCATGAACATTATAACCATTCTTTTCCATGTTGATGCCATCCTTTTCTCTTCGGAGCTTTTCAAGTAGCGCTGATATGGACGCAAATGCAGAAGCATTGTTGGAATGCCATCTTCTTGGTTCACAGACATAACCAGAACGCAGAGATGCAACTTCATGTCGAGGACGATTAGAACTTGGAATAAGAAGAGCTGAAAATATCTGGTGTGCTCCAACACGGGCCTCAACAATGGGATGCAACATTGCTTTCAGCAGTTGGACAAGAAGTGCTTCCGGAAACACCTATGTGAGAATGTTTAGAAAGTGTTTCAATGAGCTGTGACTAAGAACAATTTCAATCACTGTCCAAAATAGTTTTCATAAACTAAAATGTCTAGATTTTTAGTGGACAATACATACAACAGCAATTTCAAGAAATTGTGAACATAGAAGGTAGGGAAGGAGGCAAAGGATACATAAAATTCAACAATAACAGCAGGACTAACAGCACATAAAATGGACATTACCTGTTGTGAGCAAGAGGAGACTAATGCTAATGAAATCATATGAGCAAGGACCATCAATGATCCAATCGTTGCTCGTGCAACAAATCCAGAAGAAGGCAACTTCTCCAGTGATATTGCCATCATGTTGAACAGGGGTCGTGCATCATCAATCTAGTAAAAAAAACAACAGAAATTCAAGTAAACTAAAAGCATTGTATAAAACACACAAGAATGTACCAAAAAAGACTTCAAAGTTACCCCTTTTGCTATTTCCAGCAAGCAATCTTCAATGGAATTTTGAAGCAAGATATTTAGGTTAGACTCCTGCTCTCCTACTGATTCAAGAGTGGCTTGGAAACTTTTCCTCAGATGCCTGCACAGGTCACTAACAAAGCCAATTTCACCCAGCACCCCTCTAGATCTAATTTGCCTAGCTAAAGCAGCTGCAACTTGTATGATGTAAGATTTTAGTTGAGGATCGTGTGCCACATTTTTGTGGTCTAGATGACGTACAACAGCAGCTAAAATCAGTTGTCGATTCCCTGAATTCAAAAGCAAAGTCAGCAGGCAAAATCATAAAATTTTCCAACACTGATCATTTTTGGTAGCTTAAGAAAAGTATGATAACAAATGTACCTGAAGCCTCCCAGTAGGACATATCAGACAAAACCACCATAGCCAACCCCTGATGAGGAACCCAGTGCTGTCTAGAATCAAAGTACACAAACATTGGATCCAGTACTTGGCGCAATGTTGTACTCTCCTTTGCCAGCTCAACCATCCTTTGGATACAAATTTGAGCCCAAACTTTAGGTGTCTCAATCTCTTCCCTATAACAAAAACAAAAAAATAATTAGGTAAATGGTTTTTTTTTTTTTGGGGGGGGGGGTAGAAAAGTAGAAAACTGTGATGTCATCCCAATGTTTCATAAAATAGTTTGTTTAATCATATAAAAATTCCCCTTTACAACAATAAAACACTACCTTGTCAAAAGAGAGGGATCCTTCTTCTCTGGTTGAGGCCTGATAATCATGTTGCTAGGGCCGGCATCACAGGCAACAGTTGCACCTCTACCCTCACATCGAACCACTTCATCCACCCAATTATGATGGGGTTCTCTCTCATTATCATCTTCACGATGTGTGTCTAGCTCATAGTTATCTAAAGTGGCATGTACCATCTGCAGTTTGGATACATCATAAGTTAAAAGAGAGAGAGAGAGAGACAGAGAGAAAAGGAACAGAGGGGGGAGATGAGGGACATACAAGAAAATAACAATGAGATCCACTAACCTCATCAAGAGCAGCAAAAATATATGAATATTGTGCCATGAACCAGACCTACCAAGGAAAAAACGGACAAGCCTAATAGGTAAAAAGACATTCCAAGTCCAGAAAAAAATTTAATAAAACAAAAGTCAACAAGAAGGCAAATTCCAAGTAAAGAGATTCAACATTGAAGGAAAAAGTTTGAAATTGAGAAAGTTACTTACTGAAAAAAATTAGAAATGGAAAAGAAAATGAACTTTTTAAACTACCATGGCAGAAAGGCACTGCAAGCTAGATGCCCTTAAGCAACGTCTTTGATGTTCTTCCCCATCCTCACATGCCAACTTACACACTTTATGAACAAATTTTTCTATGTTATGAATGTAAGTTCCATCAGCCTGTTTATACAACAGATCAAAGTATGAGTATGAAAATCTATTAATAATTACATTTCATTAGAATATGAGAAACAAATTTGAATATACGGTATCCACTCCATATCAAAAACAAATTTCTTATTGTCTACGAGCAAATGCATCCCTTGTCAAAAGAATACTTCCAGCAGTACATTACTTTCATATCAGATAGCAGAAATGGTTATATGCCATCCTTTATTTTCACATGTAATATAAAGAGTAAATATGTTCATGACCCCCCCTATGCAAACCCAAGAAAGCATATGTTTTATATGTATCCCAGCCCATTCAACTCTACTTAATCTTTTCATAAAAATAAGATACCCATAGCTTGGTTGAGTTATTTATATTCTGATATGGGTGACATGAGAAAGCCTCTCATGTCATTCACATTGCAAACTTTATAGCATTCTTAAGAAAGTTTTCGATACCAATCAAGATGTAAGGTATAACCATTAAAAAAGATCTCAAAATTTTACATATTCACAAAGATGTAATCATTTTAGTATTTTTAGTTTTCTCAAGGAAAAGGAAAAGGGTCAAGGAGAGGAAAGTGACCATTAACCTGACTATAGATAAACCTAGTGAAAGTTTGGCATCCAAGGATCCGCATGGCATCTTGCTTAGAGTTATCGAGCAGTTCGATAACAACATTCAGCAAGTTAACAGCAAAATATGCCCTACAAGGTAAAAAACCAGGATTTTATCATACAAGAAAAAGCATTATAGTCAATAACTCCCATACAACACTCAGCAATACAATGAATAACAAAACATAAAAACAGGAAATGATTACTTACATCTGTTCTTTGCACATGCAAAGCAACTTGTTGTAAGCCTCTGTAACAACATTGATGTATTTAATGTGCTCATGGCGCAGCTCTTTGTAGCATCTTTCTTCAAGGTACTTGGCAATCTATTAAAAGCAGAGAAATCCACAAGTAGCTCAGTGTATGTGCAGAAAATTTCAAGGCTATACCACCTTTTCCTTGCAAACAAATAAGAAAGATAGTAATTACAACCTTGGGAATTCGGAAAGGATTTTTGGCAGCATATTCACATAGCTTGGCAATTTTCCTTTCATTGGGAGGAGCATCCTACAATGTATTGTGAGGCATTAACTTTATAATTCTAGCTTATCAAAAAGTAGATAAATTACAAATTAAACTATGAGTCTTCAGAAATGCACCAACTAAACTGCTAATTAACCAGATCTAAGAATTTTCCGTTATTTCTCTTGTTCCTTCCAAGATCCAACCAAAGGATCAAGCATTTTTAAAATTATAAGACTAGGTTATCCAGCATACGTTAAATAGTTTTACTAACAGCCATAAAAAAGCAACCAACCATACAGGCGTGTATTTTTATTCTATTAACATGCAATTATAGTACTCAAATGGCATTGGAGTCACAAAGCCAAGAACACTGGACAACCATAGTCACAGCAGCAAACTAGTCCCCCATTCAAAAAATAAAACAATCTAGCAGCCATTCTGGCATATTACAGGACTAAAGATTCTGTATTGTTACCCCTATCTTAAAACTAAAGTACTCAAAGCTAGCTAACTTAAATGGCCACATCCAAAACCCAAATATATATAAAGATTGCATTTGCAGTTTCATCATCAACACCATTACCAAAATTTATAAGCCAAAAAAACAGAAAAGAGTGGACACTTACAGGAGACTTGGGGAATATTTCAGACAATAATTTCTTGTAACGCTTAACAGGTTGTCGAGATCTTGACCTCAAAGCTGGACAACACACACACATGCTTCCACAAGCTGGGAAGATCTTCCTGGAGATGAACCCCATTTCTGCACATGCACAAAGGAAAAATTTTACACTTAGAAAAAATGAAGAAACCTAAAACAATCTCATCTTTGGTTCTCCAAAGCATGAATCATCATTTCAAACAAACAAAAATAGCAAATTTAAACCACACTTCCCCTAAAAGAAGAAGGAAAGAAAGAAAAAGATTAAAAGGACAAAAAGCCAACTAGAGTATACAACAAACGATAATCACATTGCTAGAGATCTCAGATAACTACAAAAAAAAAATCTATTCCAAAGGTGAAAAGGTGTAAAAATCTGAAATTGAAGTATAGACGGAGAAAAACATCAAAGAACAAATCATAAACAGCTAAAGGATAAATTTTAAGGTAAGACAAGAACAAAGGTGAACTATTTGCACCTGAAACAGTAATAACGCTTGTGGTTTTTATTTTTTGCAAAAACAAAAATACCACGATACCCGAAACTAAATGCAGAGGCCAAAATACCACCAACCCACAAAAGAAAAACAATCAAAAAGAGCTTTAATAAAATTTATGATACAAACATGAAAGACCCTTCTTTGAAAGATGATAATTAATGGGATAAGAGCAAATAACAAGAAAATGCACAAACCTTGCCCTGCAGCGGCTGGCAGATCTGCAAGAGCCAGAATCCAGGCAGAAATGAAATAAAACAAATGCAAGAGAACAGGCTACTAGGGGGAAGTGATCAAAGAGAAAAGACGCGTGGTTTAAGAGAAATTAAAGAAAGAAACATGAAAGAGAAAGACATAGAGAAAGAGAAAGAGAGAGCACAAGGAAAATCACGTGATAGGGTGTCAGGTTTTGTAATTTATGTTCGGGTAAAAAGTGAAATGTCTTGCGTTTGTGTCAGAACTTGGAAGACCAAAACTCAAAGACAACATCCAAAGTACTTGTAATGCCAACGACCGCAATTTTTCTTTCTCCTTGATATGTTTGAAAATTGAAACCCAAAGAAAAAAGGAAGTATTCATCAACCTTTGAATTTTTTGAATTTTGCTTTATGGTACGAGTAAGCCGATTAATTGTACTCAAAAGTGGTAAAGAAACCTTTATTTTGAATTGGGGGACGATGAAGTATGGTATCATGGAACTTTGTTAGGTGTAGAAATATTTACTTTAATCATAGGTAGCAATGGTGTTGGTCCAGAAAAATATTTGATGCTAATCATTGGACACATGCTGAGAACTTTCTATTCATGAAAACTAATGTATTAAGAAATGGGAAATTTCTGTTTTGAAAATTTCCTTACATGGAATATCATAAAATTTTTGGATTTACATGAAATTAGCAATACTTAAAGTTTGAATCTGACCTTTTTAACCATGACAAAAAATGAGGGAGAACAAAAGACTTAAGTGTACATAATGCAAATGTATAGTACTACAGTAATTTTCAATGAATTATTATTATTCTCCATTTTATAAATGAATGATAGTAAGCTGAAAGAAAATCAAGATTGCAACGACGAATCCATGATGCTTTCTTGGTCATTTATTTTGCAACATTAACTTGGTTAACAAGAAGAAACTAAGAGGTTTGCAATTGTTAATAACTTATTGGAAACATTTATTTACCTTTAATATGAGGAAAAAAGAGGTTTAGTGTTAAATGCAGTCATCTGTTTTACAAATGCGATGAAATGGAATACCTGCTTAGATATGAATGGGGTAGGTGTAAATGCAATGGTATAACAGGTATCCCAATGATTTGGAATTGAACTTGTGAAAGAAAAGAAGTAAAAAAAAAACAAAATAGAGGAGCAGCTTCAAAGAGAGTGAAAATTGCTGTACAAAAATGGATCATTTCCGGTTATAATATTTCCAGCTTCCTAGTTCTAGTGGCCCCATTTAATGTAAGTTTGAATCCCAGCTGGCCTAAGCTTGCCAATGGTTTCACTTACAGTCACACTCACACATGACAAAGGTGAAGAAACCAACCTGTAGTTTGAAATTTTCCAATTTTATTGGTGATCTGCTACACTTTAATCTCAGGAATGAAGAAGGCCCCGCAAGACCATTACAATTATGTATAAGGAATCTCAAGTTTATTGTATTAAGTTTTGGCCTTGGTATAGGGAGGGAAGAAATTATTTTCCCAAGGGTCAGTTATCTATTTCCACAGGATATGAGTTTTTGTTTTTTTAAGCAGGACTCGACAAAAAAGACTACCTGGATGTTGACTTACAATAATCTGCAATTACAAATACATAATCAACTTGCATGTTCAGGCAATTCAGTGAATTATATACTTAATGATCTTCTGTCTTGGTTTTTGTGGGCAATTAAGTTTTGGCTTATGAAAACAACAAAAGTTGCCATCCATCAAGGAATTATCTTGATTCATGCTATTTTGAGTTTTATAAATCACATGGGGAAAAGATATTAAAATCTAGAGAAAATCCATAATATACTGGAATTAACTAGACTGTGAGAATATACATGAGCTTTGGTGGAAAGAGCTGCGAGCTGGCAAGCTCTGTTGACAGTGACCTGATGAAAACTCAGGATACATAACTAAACTACCAATAATAAATTTAACAACTATATGCAGAATTACAGGTCACCTGGGACCACTTCTTAATTGATCATAATGGATCAGTAGAGTTGGACTTGACCAATAAACCATGAAAAGGAAAATGAATCCCAACCAAATTAAAGCACATGATAGCAAATAGCAATGCTTTGCAGTTCATTGTATGCTGGCGCATTGGCATAACTCACAGGGGTTGGTGGGTTGGTGACTCGTGTCAAAAGGAAACGCCATACCTACAACCAAATTCCCTAATCCAACTTCATAGCGATATATCCATCAGATGAATTTATAATGAGAAATGCCATTCGTACATATATGAAACACAAATTAGTATATAAGTGTGGCAATCTAATTATCACCTCGGCTGGTCTAAACCTACGAAAAAAAAAAAAGAAAAATGAGAGCGCAAGTATTAGGGATAAAACTATAATCTTAAGAGAATTCATCTTTTAAAAAAAGTAAGTGAATCATTTGAAATATAAACACATGCAAATTTTAGATTTTAAAGTTATATAAACCATTATAATTTGAAAAAAAGGGGTAGTGCATCGTTATAAGGAATTAAGGCAATTCCTTGTTTAGTTTAAATTGTTCATGCCAAGAATTTGAATCTTAAACGGACTTAACCCAAGTTAAAAAAAAAAAAAATCAACTGATAATACAGAAAGAAGAATGTAGAAAAGATACTGTTGTCATGTAGCGAGCAAAATGAGATAAGAATATGTAGCTGAATGCAAACAAGAAAAGGAATAAAAGGAAACATATGAGATGGAAATGCCCATCATGAAATGAAAATGACTTTCACTATGTCTTTGGAATCATGGCGCGCACAAGCCAGATTGAAACAAAGAAAGCAGCAAGCCAACATCTCCATAATTTTCTTCCTAGATTTTTCCATCTTCATTATAAAATTTTTCAAAGCTGAAATTCTACCAAAATGAGAATCATATGAAACCCACAACAACCATTACACAGTGCTTTTCAATACTTTTAACCTCAAATAATCCAACATAAGAAAGATGTTAAAACTGAAAACATCAAAGAAACATTCATCCCACTAATTATTAGAGGTTATATGTACAAACAAGTTTAAAATACGATAGCATTTTTTTTATCTCCAAAAAAAAAAAAAAGGGTTGATATGTTTGAATATTCCAAGTAGTAAATAATAATGATGAATAAAAAAATCAAAGTGCCATGAAAAATTGTGTGTAAATATAATTACGGAACTATTAATTGTTTTATTTTTAATTATGAAAAATGAGTTTCATGGTCTCTTAGTTTTTTTTTTTTTGTAAAATTTGATAGAACCCTTAACAAACCAAAACTTGTCTATTTGATTAAATAAATAAAAATTACAGTCCTAATTGTTAGTGTATATATTTCATGTGTTATTCCCACATGTACACATACATAATATATATTGTTTTTTTAAAATACAGATAGAATTATAAGTTCATTAAAAAAATTTTTTCCAATTAGGCAAGCTTAAAAAAAAAAACAAACAAAGGAGAAAACCCGCATCCTAAACCGATACCAATTGGAGCAGGGCCCGTTTTCATAAAGGAAGTTTCTTGAGGAAAGGGGAATCCAGCATACTGTTATTTCTATAGCATCAGATCACCGATTTTGCTCTGCTTCTTTTTCTTTAATTGACTGATTTATAGCCTTAAATCAGAATGAATGTAAGTCATTCCATTGATTATCTTTAATGCCCAGTTTTATTTTCTTAATCTAACACTTCCCACTTCCTAAAAAGCACTTATTTTTATCCTTTCTGGTTTTTTTTTTTTTCTAATGCAGTTTATGGCTTCAACGCAACCGGAAAATAGATTACTTGGCCCTCAATCTGACTCTCAAAGGACTCTGTATGTTCTTTATCTGATTTCCAATGGAACTAGGGTTTCCTTTTGTTGTTGGATAATTGAAATTTTCCTTTTTTTTTTTTCGAATTTTGGTTAGTTACCCATATGTGACTGGAACATCAGTTGTGGCTTTAAAGTACAAAGATGGGATTTTGATGGCTGCTGATATGGGAGGTGAACATATACATTTACATAAGCCATTTTTCTTTTTTCAGAAGTTTTTCATGTGTTCGAATTGGTTTTGTTTGTGGGAAGTAGATTATGGTCTTGTTATGGACTTTAAAGATGAAGCAATTATCTTTAAGCAGCCTTGATCCGAAGTCGTTTTTTTCTTCTTATTGTTTTGGATTGTTGTTATCTTTAAGCAATTATCTTGTTATGTATGTATGTATGTATGTATGTATGTATGTATCTGTGTGTGTGTGTGTGTGTGTGTGTGTTGGTGGACTACCGAGTGTTCCTTATTCTTCAACCCTTTAATGCTGTATGTAATGTTGTTTTAGAATAAATGGTTCAACTAGAGAGTTGGAGTATTGCTTTCAACTAGAGAGTTGGAGTATTGCTACATAGCTTAAGAATTGTCAGATAAGGTAATGCCTGAAGCTGAAGTGGTTGTAACTTGTAACAGAAAACTTATCTGTTCAAAATCCAGACATGGTACTTAACGTTTGATGTGATGCTTGTTTGACAGTGTGCTCTAAATGATAAGTATTTTATATGGATTCCATATTGTAGGCTAGAATGTGGAGATGGTATATGTTTGTTTTATTGTAGCATCATTTGTATAATTAGGACTTCATTTATTAGATTTCTTCTCAGCTGTCAACTCTATTGTGCAAAGTCAGTAACAGAATTCCCCTTACTGAGATTTCTTCTCTCGTTTTGAGCTGGAAGTCTGCTGTTTCAAGTACCCCAGCATTGCTCTAAAGCCAATATGCACTCATCTGATACTCATTACCCAACTGAATGGTTCTTAATTTCACTATGTAAAAGAATGCACTTGTTTTATGCCTGCCTCCTGTTAATTGACAGGTTCTTATGGGTCCACCCTACGGTACAAGAGTGTGGAGCGAATGAAGCCTATTGGCAAGCATTCTCTTCTGGGTGCAAGTGGAGAAATCAGTGATTTCCAAGAGATTTTGCGTTATCTAGATGAGCTTATGTAAGGATTGACTGAGATTATAAGTACTTTTGTTTTGGTTATTCTTTCATGAGTTTTCTTATTTCTCCCGCCATACACACGCAACACAGTTTTCTTTTGGGTTTTGTTGGGAACATTTGTTTTTATTGTGTGAAACTTCAGACATAAAACTGTTACTTTTGGATGTTTGATTATTGTAGCTTGTATGACAATATGTGGGATGATGGCAACTCTTTGGGGCCTAAAGAGGTGCACAATTACTTGACTCGAGTCATGTATAACCGGCGTAACAAATTCAATCCATTGTGGAACTCCCTTGTGCTTGGTGGGGTTAAAAATGGACAGAAGTATCTTGGAATGGTAGGCTCAAAGTTATGTTATATCTTTTTGTTCTAATGTTCAGAAATGAGCTACATGTGGTTTTAAGGTTGTAACTGACCATTCTTATAACTATGACTCATCAGGTCAACATGATTGGTGTAAACTTTGAGGACAATCATGTTGCAACTGGGTTTGGAAATCACCTTGCACGGCCAATTCTTCGTCAAGAGTGGCATGAGAACTTGAGCTTTGAAGATGGTGTTAGACTACTGGAGAAATGCATGCGTGTTCTCCTCTATCGTGATAGATCAGCTGTTAATAAGCTTCAGGTTTGGTCTTTTCTCTTTTAAAATTTTGACACCATGTTTTAAATAAAAATTTTTAATCCTTGCTATTAGATAGCAATTTCTACAAAACTACGTGTGCATGGCATTTTAGGCTTTTGCCATTAGGTAACAATCTGTCTCTATGGATATTACTAATCTGATACTCTAATTTTATAATGAAAAGTCTTGCTCATTGGTGTTTGAATTTGTTACATGTGAACAACTGTTCTATAATTGCCTGTTATATTTATATATATGCAATTTAGGTTGATGTATTTCTCAAGATGGCTCCTAATCAAATCTATTCTTTGGCGAAACTATTGTGGTCCTTGACTTGAAAATCTGAGGCAGAGTTTTATCTATAGTGATGTTTATCTATTCAAAATCTGATGATTGTAGATAGCTAAGATCACTGAAGAAGGTGTGACAATTTCCCAGCCGTACTCATTGAAGACCTACTGGGAATTCTCTGCATTCAAGAATCCTACTCAGGGTGCTGTAGGATCATGGTAGCTGTAGCAAACATTTCATCCTTTCTGGAAAGTTTGATGGTATAAAAAAAAAAAATTAAACAAACAAGTAGGAGTTAAATTAAAAGTTGATGCATTTTATGTTTGATTGAAACTGTTGAGTTCTGAGCTGTGATCCATCTTTATGGTTCTGTAAAACGATTAAGTTTGAGGTTGATTATCATGATTAATGTGGCAGCAGCTGCTTTTTCTTTTCTTGTTTTTAAGCTCCTAGAGATGTTATCCATTCTTGATGTAAGATTGAGCATTCTCGTAGAATCTGGACTCAGCAAAATTTATCTATTCAGTTTAATAACTGTGCTATAAAGATATGAATCCGAACAAGACATTTTTTAATATAATCCAAAAAAGTGATCAGCCGAAACTTCATTGACCCTATGCCAAAAGAGAAGAAGTTTTTGGGTTGAGCTTGGTTTCAGATTGTCCATCCTAGCCTGATTCGTACCCAGCCTCAGTGGCCCTAATCGGTTTTAGGACAGGGCCTTATGGCCTTCATTCGACTGTCGACCCAAGAGAAAGTGGAGCTGCGGGCAAACCAACCACGTTGATTCCTCTCTCAAGTTCAACACATGCGAAGACCTCAAGGTGGGAATGCAACAAACCAAACCCCTCATTTGTCAATGAACGCTGGAATGAGAAATTGAATTTCTCCAAACAAAACAAGGAGAGATTAACTAACAATCTCGCTCATGATGAAGACATTTGACAAGAAGAGATAAAAGGAAAAGGATGAGAAGGGAATTCCAAGTTGTCAACATATCCTTCTGGCATTGCCAAAATCTTGGTCATGGAGGGCCGAAGACCAGGCTCGGTTTGTATGCACCACTATGACCACCTTTCTTGCTATCTCTAAAACGTCAACCTGCTGAGTTTGATACTTGCATGAAGTACTCCTAGAGTAAAATCATAAATGCATTGGGTCCAAGAAAGCTTTCCAAAGTTGGGCCATGTGGATGACAATGAATTGGAGCTACAGTAGCCTTTCTGTCCTTTGAACCCAATAGTTTTGGACCTAGTAAGGGTAGTCCAAGAATTCCAGAAGTTGGAGCTTTTGTTTGGTCCAAGCAAGCCACGAACAGAAAGGGCAGGAAGGATGACGCAAACACATTGTTGTCAAGGCATTTCCTATGCTATGAAAAGTAAAAAGCTGAAAAGACAATTGACATTTTCGAAAAGACCCTTGCTCTATACTCCACTCACCCTCATAACTAATAAAATTCTTTTTTTTTTTTTTTTTTCATTTTCATCAATCAATTTCAGATCAGAGACGTATCAGAAGGTTGAAAGCGACAGCCCTTCTACGACAGTATCGCGCGAGATGCGCGGGTGCTTCCGTGGACTTTCTCACGGCACCCCCTAGATCTTCTTTGTTCTGCTCTGTTCCGTTGGGTGGGTCCCATTTCTTCTTCCTGTTGGTGTTGGGAAAATCCTTAATATTCTAATTTTTCTTAAATACACATTTTCTTTTAAAAACTAATTTAAAAATTGTTTAAATTGTGAATTTTTGACAAATTTTTTTTATTGGTATGGAGTGTTATTTTCTTGCATAAGTACATCACATGTAATGTTGGGTTTCACTTTTCAACAGGATTCTATTTTAGTAAAGTTGTTTGTGAATGTTACTTGGTAATATTATACATCTTTTTTGAATGCAAATGTTACCAAGTTTTCTCATCCTTTTTCCTGCTTTTATAAAATTGATTTGGATAATGCTCTATGTATCAAAGTAATAATTTCAAGATTACTAATTACACCTCTTTTCTATTTGGATTACATTCATTTCACATGTCGGTGAACTGCGATTAAAAAGGAAGAAATCGCTTCGCTCTTACATTACCTATTGACCGTTTAGGCCAAGGATACATGCAAAAAGCTGAAAAAAGGAACTGATGCTCAAACAAAGTCACCTTAATCATAAATGACTAAAGAAGAAAAAAAGGGAAAATATTTACATATAAACATTTACATCATAAAGCAAAGAGAAAAGAGGGGCTATCATTTGATGCCAACAAGCAGGATTTCTATATAATGTCAGGCATGGCCACTTCCGGTTCCTAGTGTTAGAACTACATCTCGAAGATCACTTCTTAGCTTTGGATCTTTTGCTGCAGATGAAGTAGCCCTAGTAACCAAATGTGGTCGATTTACTTGAGCTTGTCGAGAGCTGTGATTGGAATCTGGCATTGTTAGTTGTTGTGTGGGCTTGAAGGATTCTGAATTGCTTGAGCTCAGAAATGGCTGAGCAGCAGCAATCTGGCTTGTTGATGCAGGACTTTGACCAAGCATTGGCCCTCTCGAGATGATCCCTGGCCCCTAATGTTGATCAAATAAAGTGATAATAAGCTATAGTTGAACAAATAAATTAGGGAGTTCCATAATCAAGAACATAAAGCTTACAGGTGCAAATAAGACCCCTCTGAATATCTTCCCATTAATAGTTGCTGTCACCAGGAAACCTGAGTCGAAGGCTCCATCAACATTACCACGAACTTCAGCACCAAGCTAAGGATAAAAACCCCATTGAGAAGTACTAACAATCTTGAAATGGAACATAAACAACAAAACCACCAAACAAAAATATAGCAATAATGCTAATGGGATCAAACATCTTGAATACCAGACAAAAATTTTGATAAACTAGAAAATTTAGGTAATTCGAATCTTCAGTCAATAGACTGATGCTTCAACAAAGATAATACTGTTGTAGCTTCCAATCAACAAAAAAATCAAATATCCCATTCAATCAACAAAAAATCAGAAAATATATGTTTTACCAGGTTGGGAATAGGCCCTGCCTCCAAGTGTTTCTGTTCCACAGCTGGGCATTGCGCTCCTTGTCTGCCAGTATGAACAACATGAAGATATTGTTCTGGTTTTTGATGTTGTCTTATGAACTGCAAATCTTGTTGAGTTTTGTGGACCATATATCTGGTCTCCTGATGGTTATTTGGAACATTGGTAGGCTGATAATTGCTTGGAACATGATTGAACTGCTTAAACAGGTTAAGTCCTTGAGACCCTGTGGAATCTGCAGGCTTTTGTGCTGGGGCTTGTTCTTGATCAGATTGTGAAGGAGATGAATGCTGCGACAGTGAAAGGGAATGTTCTTCTTGCTCTGATTCAACCACCCATGCCCTTGAATTGGAAGATCTTCTCCTCTTTGGGTTTGAAGTATCTAATAGTAATGAAAACATGAATCTAAACATATCTGAAACATCAAGCTATATCTGAGGCAAGAAAATTTGATTCCAAACCAACCTGAATTGAACCAAGAAGAGTGCTTTGTTTCTTGTTTTGGTTGGTAAGCTTCATGTGTTGCTACTTCATTATCCCCAAAATAGATAGTTTTCTGCTTCAAAAAAAAATTAAGCACCTCTTACTCAATAAGGTCATAAAAACTAAAGGGGTAGAAATTTTGCAGTTTATCCAGCATATTCATTACCAAGTTATTTGGTGCTACTCTTAGGAATCTTCTCTTTTCTTGGTTCCACTGGCTTCCAAAAGTTTTGCAAATGGTAATGTTATAACGACCATTTGGATGCTGTGTTCCAAGTTGTAAAACCAGCAACTCATTGATTGGACGCTCATCCTCCCCACACCTGCATAGATTAAGTAAAGGTCCATGAAATTATAAGTCAGAACCGCCGTCTCAAAACAAGAGATCGGGACCTAAAGCAATAATGTAGTCAAAGGAAGTTACCCTCCATAGATAGCAATATCTGACTCTGTGAAAACAGCAGTATGAGAAAACCGCCCTTGAGGCTTTTGGCCGCATATATCAAGCTGACCCCAATAACAAGCACTGACATCTAGGACCCAAACATCATTGTAGTAGTGTTTATCTCCAACCCCTCCAATAATGAAAACCTTCAAAATCATAAATTTGTCCAGTGGTAAATCCTCCCAAATGATCATATCCATGATATAAACATAAAATTCTATCCACTTGAAATTCTAACAAAACTGTAGACAAAAATGAAATGACTCCCATTAACAATGCTAACTTAGTATCATGTGCTACCTTCGTTCCAATATTCACAGCAGCATGACCAGCTCTAACACCTGGTAAACAGCCTTGAACAGCCAGCTGTAAAGAAGAAAAAAGAATACGATGAATTATAATTCATAAAGCCAAGACATCTGTCTAGCAATTTGATTTTCTATAACTGATTTTGTGAGACTGGGAAAGTGAAATCAATACCCTTGACCAAGTTGAAGTGTCCATGTCAAACATCTCAATATCTCCATGATATCGATCACCACAGTCCCCACCATACACAATGAGTTTGTTCCCTATTGCAACAGCACTGTGACTGTCTCTAGGGACAGGGATATGACCTCTCACCTGAGGTGAAGTCCATCTCATAGTCCTAAGGTCCAGAACATGCAAATCATTCAAGTAATTTCCTTCACCTTCCCCACTTCCTCCGAAAATCACTACCTTATCTTCACCAATAAGCGTGGCAGTATGACTTTCGCGAGGAGAAGGTGCAACACCATCGCATTCAGCTCGTATCCACTCTTTGGATGCAATATCCAATACATGAAGATCATTTACCTTCTTAGAACCATTAGTGCCCCCAAACACCATCATTTTAGTCCCTACAAGAACAGCACTGTGGCTGTCTCTAGGACCAGGACCCTGCCCTGTGGTCTCAAGAGTCTTCCAAACCATTGTGTTGAGATTTACCATGAGAACATCACTGAAATGTAGACCTCCGCAACACCCCTGCGACGGGTAAAAACAGGCGATAAACATGTAGCATTTAAGGGGGAAAATGGAGATTATATTCCCCTAAAAGCATTATTGACCTTTTTCTTCTTATGGTTTCTCTTCTACTAAAAGAAATAAGCATCAAACTTTACAACAGAATTAAAGTGTTTAATACCAGTTTGTACTTTTCAGACAAAATACACAATAAGAGAGATGATGGCCAAGGGATAAACAAGAAATTAATGCTTTGGTTCTATTCTGACAAACATATCAGACCAGAGTGGATAAGTAAACCTAATGTTCACACACTGTTTTAAAGCAAATGCTCAAGAAACTAATGCTCTCTTCCTCCCCTGTTACATATATTTCCAGTATAGCATAATTTCCTCCCAAAAGGTTGAACAACATGCATCTAACAGCTAATCAAAGTTTTACCAGGAAGTTACAAGACCTTGCATGACTGAAAACATGAGTACCTAATACCTGATATTGCCAAAAATTTAACAGTTACGGTATTGCACCGAAGATTAAGAAAACAATTTTATTTTCGAAAAAGAAAAAAAGAAAAGGAAGATGAATAACGGTAAATGGAACATAGGGTGAAATAACCGAGAGAGAGAGAGAGAGAGAGAGAGAGAGAGAGAATAAGAATGCTTTCTATGAAATGAGGAGAGTCATCCTACTTATAGTTTTTACTACTTAGAGAAAGTGAAATGAGGACAAATTTCAGATAGCATTCCAAGCAGAAGCATAAGAGGAAGCAATAAAGAACTAAAACCTATGAATAAAGTTATATGTTCCCATAACCAAAGATAACCAATTCGCAGAGAGAGAAAAGAAATAGTACAAGCTTAACCAAAGAATAAAATTGAATAAGCAGAAAAATATCAATAATACTACAACTAGTGAAAAAGTAGTCACTGAGCAGCTACTAAGAGAAAAACAATTCTGCATTGTTTGTTAGACTACGAAATATTGACAAAAGGCAAAAAAAAAAAAAAAAAACCCAATGAAAGAAAATTTAACATACCCCAAAAACATATACAACCCCATTAGAATAGCAGGAAGAGTGCCCCCATCTCTCAGAAGGATTAAAACCTGAGACTTTAGGATAGAGCCACATTGCTTTCTTCATTGCAGTTTCAGCTCCAAGAGACCCCATTGTTTTCTGTATGGTGTTTTTTCTTCTCTCTTTTAAGGGGTGGTCTGTGTCTTTGGCTTAGCTTTAGTTCTACTTCAACACAGTGCTTGACAATGATGAAGCAACCAGAGGAGAGAAATAGAGGGTCAAAAAAGGACATGAACAAGCCAAGTGATATATCAACTATCAGTGTCAATAAACATGAAAAGATGGGCGCTTTCAAGTCGATATCACTGTGGCAACTAACAGCCACAGAAGTTTACCGTGAAAAGAACATTTTTTCCCTCTCTATAACCTATACGTATAGTTTATCTTCAAAGGAAAAATGAAAAGATAACCATTTATGCTGCATGGGTGAATAGGTCTTCATGACTATAAACAAGTGATGTAAAATCATGGGACTGTGGCTGTTGAGAGAGAGAAAGAGAGAGATATTTCTTTATCTTTGTTATTTAAAAGATCCATTTATTTATAGAATTTGTTTCTATACTTTTTCACATTTGTCTAACTGAAAATGATGCAGTGTGGGGCTATTGGGGTCGTGGAAAATGATGGGGAAGGTGTCATGGAGGTTTTTTTGACAGATAGGTTAGAGCGAGGGAAGGAGGTTTTCCTTTCTTTCTCTTTTTCTATGGTTTATGTTGGCATGGTATTGGGATTAGCGGATGAGAAATTTTCTTCCTCTCACTCTTTCTCTCAACCCAAGTTTCAAGGGGGTTATTGATGTTGATCTTGAAATGTCTCTTCACAAGGGAAGTGTGGGGCTTCGTGCTGTGGAAATTCCTTTTAGTTTTGGGAAAAGGAGTGGAGTGGTGTTTCCCTCAAACAATTAAAGGGTTTTCCTGAAACCCAATCTGATCATCTCTCGTGAGAATTGAGAAGTTAACAATGTAAGCTAAACATGTTACGAAACTTGTATGTTCAAATGGGATGACCATTCTGTCAGGCCATGCGCATGGATTGGAACTTGGTTACCAAAAACCATACCATTTCTTCAGAAATAAGAGCCAGTGCTGCAGCTAATTTACTATTCCATTACTCATTGTAAACAAAAATAATAATAATAATTTGAAACATAATATAGACCCACTTGTCTTATAAATCAATCTTTGACTATATATATATATATATTGTAACATCATCTCAAGTGTAGTAGTAGATATAAAATTTTCCCAAATACCCGTTAACATGAGATAATATTATAAGATTTCGATCTTAGATCTTCGAAATCGGAATAATGATTAGCAAAAACAGTCATGCATAAGTCAAAGTGCAGTTTAATTTTCTACGTTATTTACAAGGGAGGGAACAGTACAGCCCATCAGTCATTACTCATCACTATCAACGTCCTTGTGATTTACTAGTATCAATCTACTCTTTTAACTAAAGCTTCTGTCGTCCTTTTGCTGAGAAGATAGTGAATTTATATATATATATATATATATATATGAGAAACAATAAAACTCTGACAGGAAAAAGAAAAACAGAAACATAACATGGATGCTGATGGAAGGAAGAGAGTAGATTATTTGTATGTAATAAGAAAACAGGCGACAAACACGGGAGAGTTTTGATTGAGATAATGGCGGTAGTAAAATTGGCTGCCTTGATTCACGTGATCCTCTTGGTAACTTGTGAAAATGTAAAAATGGGATGGGAGACTACCGCCGTACACTGTAGTTACTGTTTCTCTTCCTTTCCTTTCCCTCTTGAAACCAAAAGACAAGAAAAGAAAGACAAAAAAACAGTATTTTCATCTTCATAGAGATGGGTTAAACAAACAAGTTAAAGCAGACTTGGAACTAGAAAAGGAATAGTCGAAGTTGGTGTTTGTTTAAAAGAAATATCAAATTCTATACAGTATTTTTCTTGCGGGTGGAAAGGAATGGAATGGAAAGTTTTGAAGAGAGTGGCTATACTGTTATTGTTGTTGTGTTGATAAATAGCGAGTGATGTTGATGAGTGTTAGATTCTATCGAGTGTCGAGTGTTGGAATTTGAGGCCCCCTGCGTCTGCGTGACGGGTGCGTGCCGTTGACCCTATATACCAAACCCAATATCCCACAAGCAACGGCACTTCATGGTTAACACAATCATCGATACTATACCATGTAAAATATCATTCAATAACCTCATCTACATCTCGGGTTTTTATACTAGTAGTACTGCTATATATATATATATATATTTCAAACCCGAATGAACTTGTATTTGATGAATGCTTTACAAATTTATATAAAAATTCAAAATCAGCTGCCCATCTTCTTGGCTTTAAATTATTGAAAGGACTACTAAAAGACTATACAACAATAAAAAAACAGAGAAATCATGTGAGATAGGCTATATACTTCAGGCATCTGCTAAGCAAGTGGATGTTGAAAGATATGGAAAATATAATAGCTCATATTACTTTCAGACTGCCTATGAACTGAAAAATGACAGCAGCTGTTGAAAACTGATGGAAAGGAGTGAGGCAAGACAATCATATGAATAAAGCCAGAGCCTGCTAATACTAATAGTACATAAAAGAAAAAAGGTAAGATATTGCCACTAAGTAAAGCACAAGTTTTTTTTTTTTTTTTTTATCTCAAATATATTAACTAAACCAATTGAATACAGATGTGTAAACCTAAGGAAAATACCCACACACACAATAGAAAATTTATGTACTTACATTAGAGCTAAATTTGAGGATCAAAAGAGAACAGGTGTCTCTGTGCCTCCGTAGGATTCAACAAACATCGGCAGAACATCCATGCGGCTCCAACTACTGATAAAAGTGAAAGAATTGCTAGAAATCCAAAATGCGAAACATCATTTGCAATTATTGCAACTCCCAACATTAGAGACTCAGCTAAACTTGCAACAGAAATCTCTGTTGTCCCAATAAAATTTGCTTTGGATGATGGGATTCCTGTCTGAAGTATCTGAGCCCCAACAATATCATATGACATGTCCCAACCTTGATAATACCTGCATACAGGAGGTGAGGATATTTTAGATATTATGCCAATTTTAAGACTGGTCGGTGTATTTTCTTCTCTCTTTCATATTTACATGACCATTTCATAATTGCTATAGGGATTTCCTGCACTGCTGCCAGGTTTCCTGGCCTAGAGCAGCCAAACTCATTAGAGACATCAACATGGATCGTGAATCATGATTGCTCCACTGAGACCAATACTGCCAAAACAATAGTCATATAGACCTTTAGAGAATCCATTTTTCTTTTCCGGTGCTATTAGCAGATAACTACTATATACGGTTGACAGTGAATCTAGACTTCCATTAAATCTACGACCATGACCAATGCTGTACACCAGATTGAGTCATGCCTTCCTAGATGCCTGATTCACATCATGAAGAAACATGGAAGTTAAAGTTGTTCTTACAATCAAACATAAGAAGAAATGAAGGGGACTCCTCTGGGAAAGAGATCCACTCTGGTAAATAGCAACAGCTATGGTGAGAAGTGATGCCTGAAAAACTAATCCAACTGCTCCAGCCTGTTTGAAGGGAAAAATGGCCATTAGAACCAGCCCCAAAATGGAGAATTCCAGAAGACAAAATCAAACACAAGAAGTAACCTTTAAAATGTCAAATCTCCTGACCAAGGTTGCAGATAAGAAGGTTGCTGCAACACCCATAAAAGCACATAATCCACTAAACCCCCCAATAACAGATGGATTTAGACCTGTTAAACATACCCACAGAGCAGTTTGGATTCAGAAATGAATTTCTGTGAGGATACAAGGTTAATTCCTCTGCTTAAATATAGAATCCATTCAAGTAATCAGAAGTCATTCAGCAAATGAAGAGAAAAACAGAATGTAATTTACAGTCAACCATATGACATGGAGTGACTTCAGGCATATCAGTGCATCCAATGCTTTAAAAGATCAATTTTAGACCAAAGCACTGTTAGCATGTGCTCCAAATGATGATGGCAATAATCTCCTCCAAATGATGATGGCAATAATCCCCTCTTCTTTGTAACTATTTCTTTTGTTATATGTCTAGGTACAGTAACTTTCTATTGCTTGAATATGTGTGATGAAGCTTGTTTCAATCTAAATAGGTCATAATAGATAGAAAAAAAAACCACACTGAGTTAAAAATGCCGTCATTAAACTGCCTGGAGTGAGAACAACGTTGAAGTAAAGGAGCACATATGCTAGGCTTGCAGCAAGGACTGGCTGCTGTATGTATTCTCTCCATCCAAGCTTGATGGCTTCCAAACCTGTATTAACTGGTCATCCACAAAATGCAATCACTTTAATAGCAAGCAAAAAATCAACCTTTGGAAAAGATGCAAGCCACTAAATAAAGTAAGAAGAAAACTAGGATTTCAAAAGTAATCAGATTAACTAGTTTTACCAAAGTTATCAGCATCAGGAAGAGGCCCCTCATCAGATTTTTGGCAACAGGTTTGTGAACATTTAGTGTGGTCAAGAACTCTGGTAGAAAGTTTATTCGTTAACAATGTCAGAGCAACCTGAGGAATGGTGTTAGACTTTAGAAGAAAGAGCAGACCTCATTCTCCAAACAAAAAGGATAATCAGAACAAGCACAAAAGCAATTACCATAACAGGTAATGACCACATCATCAAACCAGCAGCAAACTTTAAGCAGGTTACTAGATAATATCTAGAGAGAAGAATTCCAAACAATGATGTGCCAGCTATCTCCAATTATAGATGATAATGAATCTGTCGTTCACCAATTTCAACAATGATGTTATCATGAAAACCATCCCATTACTTGAGTGTAAGATAACTGCAAATTTATAAAATTTTCAGCATTCATTTTAGTAGTCATGCTTTACGGATTATAAGTAAACAGAGAAATATTATGGCAGAAATAAAAAGATAATTACAGGGACCAACTTGACAAAAATGTAAAAAATCCTAAGATTATCAAATACCTCACAGAGTGGATCAATTCGATTGGGAACAGCATTTGCTTATGCGAGTGCAATTGGTCTATTTATTCTGGCCAACTGCAAACACAAGAACTCTAGTTTAATTAGTCCTCCACTTTCCAAGAGATGGATAACCAGTATTCCTTGTGAAGAAAACAACCAAAATGTACAGAATAGGGTACTACCAGCACAACCCAGTCACACTCCATAACAACCCCCAGCTCCACTCCGGATAGCTTCTCAATAGCCCCTGCTAACAGCAGTAAAACAAACCAAGGACGGAGAAGAGTAGATGACGCAGAAGCAGGGGAGACCGTATGGGCATGAATTATCATTGCTGCTGACAACAACTGAGCAGAAGCCTGGCAGATGCAAATAAAATTAGAAAAAAATTAGAACAGTATTAATTTTACATTAATCTTGAACCCAAAAAAAAAAAAATGTTATTGAAGTACCTGCACAACATTCAGAAAGATATATGAAGGTACTCTTGGAGAATGTCCATAAGTTTGCCAACCAAAGGGCCTCCAACAATTATAACAAGCTGTTAACACTAACTTCTGTTAGAAAGTACTCTATCATCTCTTGTTCTATGTAGTGAATTTATGTTGTTAGGCTAATCTGAACCTTAGTGAAGAATCCCATGACTGCCACTGGTAGAAGGCTTGGATGAAGCAATGTAATAGCAGAAGGCCATGCAAAATTCCAAAGTTGTTCCACAAAATTCCCCGCCAGGCAACTTGCATAAAATGCTGAAATATGTATGTCCTTAAAGTTAGCAGCTGATAAGACCACACTTGTAGTAAAATGATTGGACAAAAAAAATTTACAAGACACTTTAGTTCATAACAAACAAATTTGACTGGATTCAAAATAATGTGTTCAAATCACACAGTGTAACAGCTTTCTAGAAGCTGATACTCCTAATACAACTTTAGGAAAATTAGTTTAAATAGGTTTATGCTCTGTGTGACAACCTATAGAAACCCGATGCCTAAAGCAGAGGGAGGGGCGGAGGGCTACAACAACTAACCTTCTTAACACTTTTTCATATACATACAGCATAAACACTCAAAATAAAAATCAGTTTAAGTCTGTAAGATTATTACATAATTTACATCTATTCTAGTGTGCTTTGATTATATGAAAATGGAAAGCCGTACCATACAAACCCTCTGGGTGCGCTGGGGTTGCTGCAAGGGCTTTCTGCTCCTCCTCTGTTAATACCTAAACAAGAAAAGAATAGAACAATAGTTAAGTGTTAGAGACTATTGAACTCGAGGTGAAAATAAATTAATAAATACAAAGAGGAATATACTGGCACTGTTGTCAAAAGACTATCTACATAGACATCCCCAGTTAGTATGCTCAAAGATTCAGTCTCAAGGACATCAGATTTGAGCTGAATTATATGAGTTGTACAACAACAACTAATATCTATTACTGATATGTCCTCATCCTCGGTAGCCACATGGTTGAATTGTACATTAGTGTTTGTTATTGAACGCCTTAACTTAAAAATGTCAAAACTATAAGTAAACAGAAAAACAAACAAAAAATTATTAGCTGCCTCAATTACTAAAAACAGCTATTTCAGAACAGATAACAAACTAATTCACTTTGAACCATCAGTCCTGAATGCCACAAGACAATTGCATCAAAATTATACTACTTTATTTGCATTTGCCACAATCAATTTAAGAGCAACAAATTAAAACGTTACCAATGAGTAGCAGTAGAAGGGGAGTTAAGATTCATCCATTAGCTAGAAGGGAAGCGATGGCGAATTCTAGAAGCAGCCTGTCTCGATATAGAGGCTTCTCTTCTGGTAACAGAGAGATGAAAGCAAATTGAAAGAGAGCTGAGAATTTGTAACCACGACCACTGCCATTCTAGCTTTTGCTGTTGCTTATTTAACTTTTTCTCGATCTTCAAGTGCTCAAATTTGAAGCAACAATAATCACTTTTGAGTTCGTCCAAACTCATGCAGCATAGAAGAAAGCAAATTGAATCACAAACATAGCAACCTTTTCCACTCTGGGGTTAGTTTCTTTGACACCAAATAATGTCTTGAGTTTGGCTTCAAATGAGTAACAAAACCAAAAACAAAAATTGGAACTTTCTAAGTACAAAATGAAGTGGTTCTGTTTAAGATACCAAATGGTATCTGGGCTTAGCGTCATATGAATCAAAAAGAGCTTCTTTTATGTTTTCTTTAAGAAAAAGCGGAAGCTTTCGGGTGTAAAAATGAACGTTTCAGTTTCTAGATACCACAAACGATCTGGGTTTGGGTTCAAAAAGGATAAAAAATTGGATTTTTGTTTGTGTGTGTGGCACAAAGAATTGGGGTTGGAGAGGCAGATTGTTGAGAGAAGCTAATTTTGGAAATAACTTTTTTATATAGTTATAAGAGTATAGTACCACTTATTTTTCTGTTTTTAAAATCCATTTTTTTAATATGAAGAAATGGAGCCAAGTTATCATTTATTTCCTTTTTCTTTATAAATACAAGAAAATCCATACATTTATAGGTTAATAATTTTGACAAATGTATCAATGATTAAAAATATATTAAGGGGTGATAAATTTCTTCATCAAAAGTTTTCTTATAAGAAATAGAACACATATATGCATACATATATATATATATATATGATGGTTGTTATTAAATATGATATACTCCTATTTTTTGAACGTATCATAATAATAATTAGTGAGGAGGGATTCACTTGCTTAATGTAAAGTCTTTTATTTTTATGTATTTTTTGGATCAAAATAATTAAGATTAAAAATATTATTTTAATTTAAATTAATTATAAATTTAATTTTGATCGATCAAAAGAATCTAAAACTTATATTAATGTAAGTAAATCTCTACTCATAATTAGCATATCATTTTATTCTTTCTTCGTCAATCTTTTAAGAACATGATATATCTCTAATTTCTTTTTAATTGGCAAATCCTTTTTTTTTTTTTTTTCCTTTGCTTGAATAATTGATAAATCTTTGAAAATTGTTGGTAAAGATAGCTAGTCTCAAGAATTAATCAATTTCTCCAATCCTTTATTTCCAGCCACAGTACATTGAAATAAGATGCCCCTTTCAAATGGCATTGAGGAATTGGCATGTAGTTTAATTAAATTATTATGAAGGACCAAAAATGGAAGGAAAAATCTAAAACAAATTGGAAATTTCTTTAACTGCAATCAAATTCTGATTTTTCATGGCAACCTGCCAATCCATCCATCTTGGTCTATGAAAGACGATATTGAAAATTGCTTCAGTTGGGAAAAACTAAGCTTTTTTTCCCATGGAACACGTCTGGAAGTGTTAGATCCCGGTCCAATACAGTTCACCTCGGCATACATAAAATTTTCTCTAAATTTTATTCGGAACAAATTAAGAAGCATTAATCAATATCAAATTTAAGAGACAAAAACTTGCGTTAGAAATTAAAAATAAAAAGAACTTACTCTTTTCCAGGGTAATTCCAGGCAAACCACCCTTCAGGGACCACCTGTGCATACATTGCTGTATCATGAAATATCACTCTAGAATAAGGACCATAGGCTCTTCCTAGATAAGGTTTCACAGTGCCAACGATTGTTCCTTTTTTAAACACAAATCCACTAGGATCATCTGATGATTTTCGGCCCTGAGCTGTTATATAACCTATACGCATTTGTGAAGCAAATGCACCAGCAGTAACATTTATTGAAAAATTCTGAAAAAACCATAAGATTGTTAATGCATATTCTGTTCAGGTTTTTTGCACAATTTTAGATTATTTTTTTCATCAGTTACCTCATAGAAAGATTGGCCACTACCAAAGATAAAATCATCAGCCCCTTCTATATGGCACATGCTGAAGTAATGGCGGCCTAGTGCATCCCATAGGGTATCTTGCAACCCCAAAAATCCACATTGAAAAAATGCAGACTTATCACCTAAAATTCTTGCTGCCACTGCCTGTGTTACACGGGGAATTGGTTCACCGCTAGATATACCTTCTACCAATTGATGGTTATACGAGTTCTGGCAGTAAAATCAAAAGCACTATGGTCAATTTTTTTTTTTTTTAGGAGCGAATTTGATAATTAATTAAAAAATTATCACCGTTATGTAATAAACAAAAGAATTAGAAAAGAAATATGTATTTTAAGCACATTAATGCAAGTTGTGGCATTGTGAATCATTTAAAGCATAGTATGATATCATGGTCACATGATATGGTGAGAATCTTCCGTTAGATTAAAAGTCTGATACTTAACCAAAATCTTTTACTATAATGACTTTATATTATTTTTATATTTTAATCTTTCAAGAATTAAATTATAATATAAAATTTTAAAAGTCCAATTCTCTGCCAACAAATGATTTCATATCAATAATAACAATCATTCCATATTTTTAGCATGGAAAGAAAAAAGATAATAAAGCAAAGAAACGTTGAAGCAAAAGATGAAGAAAAATAGGTTTGAAGCTTCACCTTAAAAGTGATGCCCTTTGCAACAATATTATCAGCCATGGAGGTGAAAGTAGCACTAGTATCTGTTCTATCATGAGCGTCAAAGGTAATGGTTGTGACCCTCCGACTTTGTCCTTCAAGTACAATACAAGGCTTCGTTTTTGGAATAATTACCTTCTCCCTTTTTTTTTCCAAAAGAAAAGGAGGCAGGTAAGCCAATATTGAGATGATGAAACTTTCATTATCTATTTTAAAAAAAATTAAATTACCAGTAGACACCAGGATTAATGCGAACTTTGATCCATTTATCATTGTTTGGAGAAATGGAATTAATGGCAGATTGAATCGAGTTAAAGTTTCCATGACCATACTTGTCTACGACGATGGTAGATGCAAATTTAGAGCCACCATTTCCAGTGTTACACTGAGCAGCAGCTATGGATATCCTCAAAGAAAGGATCAACAACATGAGAATGAATGGTGGTATAAGCTGCATTGTGGTTTAACGGCAAGCTCTGACTCTAAGTTGTTCTAAAGTGTATGATCGAGCATTGCCAAGAGAAGGGTGGGATCTATATGGAGATGATTGGAATAATTTTTGGTATAATTCTATGTATGGTAGGTTTTAAAATCAGCCAGATTATTTTTTATTCCAACAATTAAAGTAGAGCATGAGCTCGATGGATCTTGCATTTGTTGGGCTTGGTTTCTTTCGAAAGTTGCCAAAGCCCATTCATTAAGGATTTTTTAGTCCTTTCATGCTTGCTACTAAGGTTTTAAAGCCTTATTTATTGTTTATGTGGTTGAAAAAGTAACTAGAGTGTTGTGACGGTAAAATGGAGAAAAAAGAGAGAAAAAGAGGATTTTATGTAATTTCGGTCAAATAGTTTGATTGAGGTCAATCAATAATTAGATTGAACTGAGATTTTATCAATGTGTTTATGATTCATTGTTCTTCAATATGAACAGTTGAGATGGGATTTCGAGTTTTTTACCTATTGATTTTGTGGGTATTTATTAATTTTTAAATTTATTAAGACTTTTTAATTTTTTCTTGTAAGATTATTTAATATTAAGATATTATAATTGTATACGTCTAGTTTTAGTTTAAGAAAACTTTGTATTCTCATTATTTTGATAGTGAAATTTTTTTGTTATTGCTTGTGGTTTTTACTTCTCATTTTAGGGAGATTTCCATGTAAATTACTTGTATTCTTGTGCTTGTGATTTGAAGATTTATTTGTTAACTCTATTTATTTGATTTTTTTTATATTTACATAAGAGAGGAATAATTTAATTTTTCATTGCGTAATATATTTAGTTTGAATATTATTTAAGGTAATTTTATCCCATCAAAGTGGTATAAAAGCTCATGTTATTTATTTTTGCCTTGAAAGCCAATACAAGTAGAATGATTAATTTGAATGGTTCAAATTGCCATGTATGGAAATGAAAGATGAAAGACTTGCTTTATGTGAAAAATTATTATTTACTTGTGTTTACCATTGAAAAGCCTGAAAATAAAAAAAGATATAGAATGAAATTTATTTTATCGACATGCATGTGATTATATTAGATAGTGAGTAGATGATAATGTTTTGAACCATATTAGTGGAAAGATATATGTATGCACTCTTTGGAACAAGCTTGAGCTGTACACTTAAAAAACTGGGAATAATAAACTGTTTTTAATTAAGTAGTTAATGAGTTTGAAATATCATAATGAAACTTCTATGACAAATTATTTGAATGCATATCAAAGCATTATTAATCAATTGGCTAGTAGAAATCTTAAGTTTGAATATGAGATATAAGGCTTATGGCTTCTTGATACATTGCTAGATTCATGAGAGACGTTTTAAACAACATTATCTAGCTCAGTCCAAAATTGTATTATCATTATGGATTTGACTAAAAGTGGTGTTTTGAATGTAGAGATTAGAAGTCATATGATTCATTTTCACATTTAAGGTCTTAATCACAGAAAATAAGATTAGGGATAAAAGCAAAAGTATGAAGAATAGAAACAGAAACAAGAGCAAGTCCAATAAATTTACCAATATTAAGCACCATTATTATGGTCTTAAAGGTCATATAAGAAAATATTATCGAAAGTTTGATTTTTCACTGCATGATATATTCAGTTTGAATATTGTTTGAGGTTATTTTATCCCATCAACATGTACATTTCTTGAATTCATGCAATTCCATGTTGACCAACCCTCTAGAACAATATTGTTAGATATCTCTGTCGATAAAACAATAGCATATTTAAATTTTCTAACCTTTACCTTGGTTGACATAAACAAGAATGAAACCAGTATAGATTGGAGAAAGAATTGGAGATATTGCATTTTGAAGTTACCTAATAATATAGATCAATGTAATAGGATGTTAACACAAATCAAAGAAAAATATGATCCATTGAAGTAAAAAAGCAGTTGTGAATGCTACAACATGTAAGAAAATGTTCCAATTGAAAAATAATAAATATTGAGTATTTTTATTTGCACTCAAATTTCTTGTCAATACACCCCAAAAATTATATTATAAATATAACCTTTAATAAAATTACTTAAATACCCATTAGTCAATTACTTTTTTATCTTTCACATTCATTTCAGAAATCTATTTTTGAAAACTTTCAAAATTTTTCAAAAATAGATGTTTGGAAATCTTTAAAATCTTTGAATTTTGAAAGTTGTTAAAGGGTTTTGGACATCCATTTTCAAAAATTTTGAATTTTCGAAAATTTTTAAAGGTTATCATCCATCTATTTTTGGAAATCAATAGAAACTTTAAGAAATCTATTTATGGAAGTTTCGAATTATACACAAATATTTCAATAAAAAATCTTATGAAACTACACACGAAATCAAACAAAAAAAATAATAAGAAGAACAAACAATTTATCTTTGATTTTATGCTTTTTAACTTTAAATTGATGAAATTTCCTTTGAATTTGGTTTGATTGGATTTAAAATCCTTTAAAATTTTTGGTTGGGAAGAAAAAGAGGAGATGGGATGCAAGAGAAAGAGAAATGAGTTGTTTGGGTTTTTTGGTAAATTTACGTTTTGAAAGTGGGATGTGTTGAGTAAAAAATTGGATATTAAAAATAGGGAATGTGTTTAGTAATTTTTAGCCAATATTTTGGCAATTTATGATCTGGCTTAAGTAAGAAACTTACCATTTTCTCATAGATAATGAATTCATGGTGCTATGGTGAGCCAGGCTATCTCTTACGAGGTTATGATGATTAACAATGCATAAGTTACCTAAAAAATCTGCTGATGTTTCACCAGGTCACTATTACTTATGACAAGTTAAACTATTTTCCCATAGATGGCTCTGCCTTAACATTTTTCCATAAAAGCATCGTTTACATTAACTTCATGGTTATTGGAGAATTAGCTGGTCTGGGTAAATGGAGCCTTAATGCAACATTAAAATTAAAGTTGCAGAAGAAAAAAAAAACTCGATTTTATGGCCTTTGGAAGAATATTTAGAACAAACAGGTAGCTTAATTATTTGTTTTGTCATTCAAAGATAATACTAACAAAGTAAATTCCAATTGCAAGTACTTAATTTTCAAAGTTGTTTTTCAGAAATAGAAGCAGCTGACTTGAGCACTAATCTATGAACATTTACATGTAAGATAAATATTTGTATATATCTCAAGGTGCAGTAATCCATGGTAGCGAGTTTCAGGCAGTACCAGAACCGCTGTAGGGACCCGAAGATGTCATCTACTACTCTCTCCCTAGATAGATCATCATCTATCTAAATGTCAAGTGCCTTTTTATAAATTGAACAAATTTAACGTTGAAAAATTAAATATTGAATTTTTAGTTATGAAGAATTTAAGTACTGAATCTATAATATAAAAACTGTTTGGTATGTTACTGAAAATTAAAATGTTTAGTAAAATTTTATTAATCTTTTATATAAAAAAAACAACATATGATCTTATCATTATTTTAGTTGATAAAAATTAAAAAGGAAAGAATAAATTGTTAAAAGAAATGTGAATTTCATGTAATTAGACAACACTTTTTACTTAAACAAAATTGACGTAATACATTAAGCAGCTTTTAGCATTTTCAACACTTTTCCATTGAAAATCTTCCTTTTAAGTGATTTTTAAAAATGGTTTATCAGTTAGATCGAAAATATAAAACCATGATTTTGTGTCTTACTTTTCGTTCCAATTACTATCATTTTGTATTTGTAAAATTACAATTTAATTACCTAAAATCATAAATACATCAAATCAATATAAAAAAGTACTATTTCTTTTCAAAATTGATCCAAATAAAATTAAAAAGTACTATGACAATATTATAGAAAACAATATTGTTCCCTTTCTAGATGCCACCCTTATAATTTTGTGTGTTTTGTGTAATGTTGTTAATGATAATGATCATCATCATCATCATCATCATCATCATTACATGTGTTTAAACACAAAAACGGAATAAGAATGGATGAATGCGGAAGATAGGAAGGCAGGCACTCGCGCAAACTTGTCTTTAATTTGATCAAATAATGGCATAGTTGATGAAAAAGAGAAGAGGAGGATGATGATCTATCAACATCCCAATTAGTAACTCTAATATAATTAATATTTATTTATATTACATTAATTAAACCAATCTTTATCAAGCTCTAATCTTATCATGTGACAACAATACATTTGTTTTTGTAAACACCCTACTCTGAAAGTAAATAAAAAGATAAAATAATTAAAAAAAAAACAAAAAAAAAAATACAGGTGATAATATTTGATTTAAAATTCAATTACTTTTTGAAATTAAAATCCAAATTGAATGGGATAGGATGCTCAGTTTTAAACTGAGATCCTATCCTCATCACCATTATTTAATCCATTGGTAGACCACCAAAAAAAGGGGGCACTTGATAGACGAAAGGAAGGGGAGGAGGAGCCAAACCTAGCTCTCTCGATTATCCTCAGGCCTCAATCGGAGAATGGTCTCCATCAAGAATAACCTTCATTTCCTATAGTCTCTTACACCCAAAAATCACCCATAACAGAACTCAAAAACCACCTCCTCTGTGCCTCTCTATCTCAGTTGAATATACTGCCTCTACCACAATCATTTAAAACCTCTCCCTCTATTGACCATCATCACCATTTTTTAAAGCTAATACCGAAACTGAATCACTACTTTACATAGCCATTGAAACCACCTTAGCCACAAAATCTTGATAACAGGAATAGAAACTCATTGTGAACCCCATTTTCATCTTCACCATCATGCTCGAAACCCACACTTACAAGCAGAGAACAAGGAAACTACGCATCAATCCGTACGCTAACGGTGAAAGCACCAATCCTCATCGATGGTCGATCCTGTCTTCATTATTAGCCTCTCGTCGAATAACCATCTTCTGTCAAAAAGAGAATCAAAAACAAAAAGGAAGTCAGAAACAAAAAAAGTGAAAAAAAAAAGAGGTTTTCTGGGGTTTTAGTTTAA